TTTGTGGATGTATAAAATTCAATGACCAAGTATTTATTTAGCAATTATAATGTGCTAACCATTATTCTTGGCACTATAGAGATTCCAGAGTATAAAGTGGGCTCTGATCTCAAGGACCTTTTAATGTAAATGAAATGTATTATTACAATCTAGTTTGAGGGACAAGCCTTACATAGATGGAAACAGAAATCAGTATAATTAAGTGAGAAAGGCAACATGGCTTAGAGGATAGAGAGGTGCTGTGGGCTTAGGGCCTGTCACCTACTGACTATGAAACTCCCCACATCACTTAACCTCTCAGTGCCCCCAGGCAACCATAAATCACAGAATAATTGCCTCTCTGCTTTGGTAAATGAAATTTCTTCACCTGGAGCTCCCTATATAAATGAAATCACAGATCTTGGGAGGGCAGTATGGAGTGGTGGGGTGAGGTGGAGAATGGGGAGGTGGGGGAGGAAAGGTTATCTTAAGGTGTTTTGCACAGACCTTAGTACCTTTAGGAATTTAAGGAAAGAGGATATTGGTGAGAGCTAGTCATCAGGAAGTCATCATGGAAAAAGTGAAACTTATTCCTGGGCTTGTTGGGGTGGGTTTCAAATAAATGTGCATAGGATAAAGAGAGGATATTCCAAGCAACGAGTACAACATGAATAAAAACATGTAGGCAGGAAAGAGGATAGTGAGTATGGACTGATGAGAAAAGAATAGAGTACTGGGTGAGGGGCCAGTGGGAAATAAGATTGGAGATTTGATGTTTGTGTGTATGTGTATCTTATATATACACACATATGTGTGTGGATGTATATACTTTCGGAGGCTTTTTAGCAGGCACTGAAATAATGTTTAAAGTGATAGTTTTTGAGGGGCAGCTAGGTGGCTCAGTGGATAGAGCACCAGCCCTGAAGTCAGGAGGACCTGAGTTTAAATCCAGCCTCAGACCAAGCACTTGACACTTACTAGCTGTGTGACCCTGGGCAAGACATTTAACCCCAATTGCCTAAAAAAAAAAGTAATGGTTTTTGAGGGAAGATTATTAACTGGGATAGAGGATGAAACAAAATAGGGAGGCCTAGGTGAATGAGACCAGGTAAAGAAGACTATTGAAATAATCTAAATGTGTTCCACATTTAGAATAGGGTTCTAGGTGCTGGGAATACAAACACAGGGGAAGTAAGGGATGTGAGAGAGTTATTTTGAATGAAAAAAATGAACTAGAATTGGTGACTGGATATAGGGACTAAAGGCAAGGGAGGAATGAAAAATTTCTACATTTGAGCTTGGATGACTGAGAGAACAGTGGTTTGATTGAACACAAACAGGAAAGATTTGGCCTCAAACCCAGACTCTGCTGTGTGATCTTGAGGGAGTCACTTAACTTCTTGGCCTGAGTTCTTTATTTATGAAAGGGGGAATTGAAGGGTTGGACTAGCTTCCATCTTTGTATGTATGGATCTGTGTCAGTAAGCTGTAAACAAGAGTAAGTTTGTTTGTGAGTATGGGAAATATTTTAGACATTTTGAGTACACAGTGAGACATTCAAGTAGAAATGCTCATTGTACAATTAGAAATAGGGACCAAAGTTTCAGAGAAAGGGCAAACTCAGTGATGTTGATTTAGGGGTCATTAATGTAGCAGTGCTAATCAGACCTTTAAATGTAGATAGATTCTCTGAAGAGAGAAAGCATATGGATAGAAGAGCTATATAGGGACTTTTGAAATGGGGAGAGGAAGAAGACAGGAATCAGAAAGGTAGCAGAGGGCAAGTGGCCAGAATTGTAGGGGATAGACAGGATAGGGTAATGTCATGGAAATGAAGGGAAGAGAGAATCTCAAGAGTGGGTGGTTAATAATAATAAAGATAATTATGAAAGTATCTCGTTTGATCCTTTTGACAAGCCTATGAGGTAGGTAGTGCAGTGTGTGTTTAAGGGGATATGAGAATTAAAGATCAAGGAGTTATGTGATTTGTCCAGAGTCACACGGTCAGAAAGTCACAGATGTAGGATTCAAACCCAGGTTTTCTGATAGCAAGTGTGCTGCTTTTTTTCCATTATAGCAGCTAAGCCAACAATACCATGGGCAAAAAGAGAAATCCCCCTATCTCAAAAAAAAACAACCCCATGTATAAAGAGAGAAGTCATTGGGTTTAATGGGAAGGAGGACATTTGAGACCATTAAAAAGACAATTTTAAGAGAACAATAGAAGCTAAGGAGGAAATGGTTGAAAAGACAATAGGGCGATGAGTATAGATCATTAATTTGAGACATTTGACTGTAAAGGGAAGGAGAAAAATAGGATGCTCAGTGGATGGAGCAAAAGGATCAAATGAAAGATTTTTCAAGAAAGCAAGAATCCATGTTGTTCTGAAGGCAGAGAGAATAAAGGAGTCATTGTTGAAGAAAAATATTTAGATCCAGTTGTAGCAATGTCATTCTTTGAAAGAATATTAAGATTGGGGTTTTTTTCCTTGCAAGAACCAATGGACATGCATACATTAGATACAGAAATGAACTATAGCCACCATATGTCTTCAAGAACTGTACAAGATACTTGAACATATAACAAGAGTTAAGTTGGACATTTACTTGTAACCAGTTGCGGTGTAAAATTTTATTTTGTATGTAATCAAAGAAGTCAAGAAAACAGTATCCTGCTGGCTTTAATACATTGCTTATGGCAAACTGGCTATGTGCCATTCTTGTCCTTTAAATTCGGGAGGCAGCTAAGTCATGTACCATTCCTTATCATGGATTATGCCTTCTATAGAAGTTGCCTGATGACTACTGTTTCCCACAATAGCATCAAGTTATTCTAATGATTTAAAAGACAATTCCTCTGAGACTCTATGTAGAAAAGATGATTTAGTTGCTAGGTCCAAATCTCTCAAATTTGAATGGTTGAAGAGGGTTACCAGTGATACAAAATCATCTTTTACTTCCTTTTCCATCCTACACGATTTCTATTTTGTGGGATTGGACAACATCCATCTTTTCGTTCTTCTTTCCTATCTTTACCACCCACACAGCTGAAACTTTTCCTCTTACATTTTGCATCCTTCCTCCCTATTCTTATATTTTTCAAGCACTCCCTCCTCCAACAGCAAAAATTGGAAACAATTGTATGTTATTAGCCCAAATAAAATTTAAACAAGCTCTTTATGTGTAGTATACTGGAGAAAATCCTATAAGAGAATTTTTCAACTAGAAGATACTTTATAGTTCATTAAATCCAATCCCTTAATCCCTTTATTTTTTTTTCCAGATTAGGAACTGAGGTCCAGAAAAATTAGATGATTTGTTCAAGGTCACATGACTATTTAGTGGAAGAATTAAGAATAAAATCTGTTTCTACTGACTCTTGATTCATTTATCTTTCCATTATTTTTTAGAATCCTTAACTATAGCAGGTAATTATAATAGAATGACATTCAAGATTGGGGGTAGGGGAAGTCAAGGATAATATATTTTCATATTTAAATCCTTGAGTGCCTACAATGAGTTAGGTCCTGTGCAGATGAAATTAATGTGGAAGTCATTCTGACTTCACTGACCTTTCCCTGACTATGAAATTACTTATTTATGAGCCCAGAGCTTCCAATTCCTTAGTGGGGAGTAGAAAACAGAAGAGAGAGCAAATATTTCTTACTGCCTCTTTAATTTCCTGACTTCAGAAACATTGAATTCAATTCAATAAATATTTTTCAAGCAGCTACTTTGCGTACTACTAAGTTAGGTGCTGAAGATAGACAAAAATAAAACAATTCCTGACTTCAAGGGACTTATATTCCAGTGGTGGGGGTTATAATGTGTAGCAGGCAAGTAAACGTAATTTCAAGAGGAAAGCTACTAACAGCTAGAGGAATCAGGAAAGGCCTTTGCCTTGTGGCAAAGGTGGTACTTGAGCTGTGCTTTCAAGAAAACTAGGGATTCCATGAGATGGAGGTGAGTAGGGAGTATACTTCAGACATGGGGTACCATGAATGCAAAGACCAGAAGGAGGTAGAATGCTGTGTCTAGAGGAAAGCTAGGAAGTCAGTCTGACTGGAGTGAGAAGAATGGGAAGGGCAGTAACATGAAATAAGCCTAGAACAGTAAGTGAGAACCAGAATGTGGAAGACTTTAAATGCCAGGCCTAGGATTTTGTATTTTCTCTTAGAGGCAATGGGGAACATTGAAGATTTTTTAATTAAAAGGGCGAAATGATTCAATGTGTGTTTTTTTTGGAATACTAATCTCAAAGCGGTGTAGAGGGGAGAGACTATAGGTGGGGGATCGGTTAGTATGCTGTCTAGATGAGAGATACTAAGAGCTTGATCTAGGGTGAAGGTTGGGTAAGTAGAAAGATGAGGATATTTGTGAGAGATGTGGAGGTAGGATCCACAAGAATTTGTAAATGCTTAGGGAACAGCCAAGAATGGCTTCAAGGGTTCTAGCCTGGGTCACTGGAAGGATGATGATGATGCTTTTGAGAGCCTACGTTCTTATGTACATGATCCTATTTGACTCTTATAACAACTCTATCCAGCAAGATAGATAAAAGGAGAATCATTATTTCCATTTAATAGATTTAGAAACTGAAGTTCTGGGAGATTAAATGCTTTACCTATGATTAAACAGCTAGTATGCATCAGATATGAGATTTGAACCCAGATCTTCCATATTTCAAGTCCTGAAGTTCATCTACCACTGTACTGTGCTTGGATCATTAGTACATGCAAATGTTTGTTTGTAAATCACTAAATGTTTGACTTGCAAAATGAGAGACATGGAAAAATGAAAGCTAAATGGTTAGGAGCCATTACCAATCCGAAATGAAGATAAAGTGTCTTTGAAATTATAATATTAGTCGTATTGAATATGTTGAATTTATAAAAGTTTGATTTGTGTACATTTGCTTATCATTTAAAAGAGACCAATTACCTATAGGGAACTCTTATTTCACATGTAATTGTAACTTTCTTTTATATCCTTTTCCACTGGCTGTTTGCTTTGGTATGAAGGCTGATCTGAACAGAAATGTGCCTAGCAAAACTGAAAACATTATCATAGTGGAAAGAGCCCTGAACGGTGAGTCTGAAGTTCTGTGTTTAATCTTGGCTATGTTACTAATATCACTGGTACAGGTGTAAAATGAGCAGGTGGAACTGAATCTTCTCTCTAAGATTCCCTCCGCTTTGTCATTCCATACATTTTTTCCCAAATTCATTTCCCTGAAAGAGTCTCTGGTATTACAAAATGCCATTTGTAATAGACCCTGAAAGTTTTAGGACAAAGATTGGGACAAGAAGCAATGTGAATATTAGAGATTAAAGAGAAAGAAGATTTCTAGAACCAGTATAGTACAGTGCTACACTTGAAATCAGGAAGACCTGGGTTTGAATCCCACCTCTGACACTTAGTATCTCTTTTATCAGGAATGGCTAAACTACAAATCTCTCTGAGTCTGAGTTTCCTCATCTGTATAATGGGGATAATAGAATATTTCACTGGTTGGTTCTCAAACTCAAATGAGATAATGAATGTAAAATACTTTGTAAACTTTAAATTTCAGCTATTTTAGGAAATAAAGAAATGACAGCCCTATATCAAATCTTGTTTGGTCCACTGGGCCTATGCTTTACAGTTTGTAAATGTTGCAAATTGATTGCTCAGGCAGAGATGACACTCCTTACCGAAGGCATAAAATTGGCAGAACTTGCAAATTATTTTCATTCCAAAGTCTCCCTAGTTACTTTGGTAACAGAAGTGAAGAAAATGAGATCTCTGTCAATATAAGTAAGGGGCTAGTTTATATGGTTCTTGGTGAAATTTTCCATTGATCTAGGATTGTTGAGGCTTTACAGCGGGGGTCTACAAACAATAGCTAAGTCCTTTAGAATGGCTTTTACATTTTAAAATAAAGTTTTATTGTATTTTAAAAAGTAAAATCCATTTTTTAGCTCAGGGTTATACAAAAACAGGCCATATGACCCACAGGCTGCCCCCTACTTCAGAGCATTCTTTATATCCTCCAGTTATATTCTGAGTTTCTGGAGGAAAGGGACTATGACCTTTTGCTTCCTCTCTCCCTCCAGTCTTTATATTATATGTGTCTGAACCAAGCTCCAAAAGATGTGTGATTCCTGAAGATGGGTACACCCACAAATATACCCAGACCTCCACAACCTAGTAGAAAGTATCTTGAAATGCTGTGTCTAAAAAGTGAAATAATACTCTGTGGCCAGTCTTTTGGTAATGAACTTTGCTCATGCCTTTCAAAGTCATAGCTCAGTGGCTATTTCATCCTGGAACTTCCTGTGGCCTCTTCATCTTGGAACATCCAACAATCCTTGTAGCCTTCTCATCCTGGAATATCCCTTGACTAGGTCAGACACCTTGTGGTGAGTGCCTCCTGAGGCGTCCATTTTGTGGAGAGGCCTAGGCTGGCCAACCTTCATTCTCCTGGCTCTGTTAATGATTTTCTGGAGTTTAAAATTATGCCTCGATCTCCCTTTTGTATATTGTCTTCCGCAACAGAATTTAAGCTCCTTGAGGGCAGAGATTTATCTGTTTGTTTGTATTTGTAACCCCAGTACTTAGTACAGTGCATGGTACATAGTAAGTGGTTGATAAATGCTTCTTGCCTTAAACCTGTTCCTACTTAACTAGGAATTGTCCTTGGGCACTAGTCTCTCACTGTGCCCATATCTGAAGCCTTTCCAGCTTTGTAGTACCCGTTAGAACTTGTGCTGCACTGACATATTCTGCAAGACCCTGAGGACATTCTGCATAATAAGTACTGTTTGAATTGAATTTAATAATCAGTGGCATTTGGGGCATTTAAGATCAAAGGATCAGCGCTGGATGGGGCCTTCAGAGGTTATGTGGTCCAACCAACTCATTTTACAGGGAAGCAAATTGAGACCCAGCATAGTTCAAGGACTTGCCCAACCAAGGTCACATAGGTAGTAGCCAGCAGAGCTGAGATTTGAAGTAAAGTGGTCTGACTTCAGATCCTATGTGCTTTGTACCATGTTGCCTTTCATTTTGAATGAACTTCCACCATTTTGAATTTTCATGAGGTTGCAACAGACTTGCCTGCTAAGACTCACCCCACCCCACCTCTGTCCCCTTCACAGCCTTCACCTGCATCACTCCAATCAGGAGGCAGTAATGAATGACATCTTCCAGTTGAGGACAAGCACAGTAGGAAGATCCTGGTAGGGGCAGTCACACAGGCTGAATCTGGACATCAGAGTAACCAGCTAAAAATGAAAAAAAAATCAGTAACAGAAATTCTTTGGACAAAGTCACAATAGTTTATGGAATCATCTGTTAACTAAAGAGCTAGTTAAACCAATTTGTTGTTGTTGAGTCATTTCAGTTGTATCAGACTCTTTGTGACCCCATTTGGGGTTTTCTTGGCAAAGATATTCGAGTGGTTTGCCATTTCCTTCTCTAGCTCATCTTACAAATGGGGAACTCAGGCAAACAGGGTTAAGTGACTTGCCCAGGGTCACACAGCTAGTGAGTGTCTGAGGCAGGATTTGAACTCATGAAGATGAGTCTTCCTGATTCCAAGTCCAGTGCTGTATCTCCTAAGCCATTTATTTGCCCATTTGGATTGAATGACTTTTCCAGGTCATGTAGCTAGAATTTTGTGGGCTACTCACTAGCTATGTGACCTGGGAAAGACATTTAGTTCCTTGGGTGCTTGGTTTCCTCATCTGTAAAATAAAGGATGTAGGAGAGAGGAATGGGAGAGGAATATAGTTGATCTGCAGAGCTTACAATCAGTGCCTCTATGCATAGGCACAAAGTATATATGCAGTTTGCCTTTCTCCAAACTGGTATCATCATAGCTAAACATGACTAGTGAAGCAAATTTTGAGCTGCAGAAGATTGCTCATCCCTGATATTCAGAGGCTATCTAGTTTTTAAATTCTAACTTTTGGTTAGCAGATGATTCTGTCAATCTTTGTTCTGTAATGATAGAAGACGCCATCCCGCATTCTGTGTCACCTAACGTCCGTCCCTCCTTTCCCGCATTCTGTGTCACCTAACGTCCGTCCCTCCTTTCCCCCATTCTGTGTCACCTAACGTCCGTCCCTCCTTTCCCCCGTTCTGTGTCACCTGACGTCCGTCCCTCCTTTCCCCGTTCTGTGTCACCTGACGTCCGTCCCTCCTTTCCCCCGTTCTGTGTCACCTGACGTCCGTCCCTCCTTTCCCCCGTTCTGTGTCACCTGACGTCCGTCCCTCCTTTCCCCCGTTCTGTGTCACCTGACGTCCGTCCCTCCTTTCCCCGTTCTGTGTCACCTGACGTCCGTCCCTCCTTTCCCCGTTCTGTGTCACCTGACGTCCGTCCTCCTTTCCCCGTTCTGTGTCACCTGACGTCCGTCCCTCCTTTCCCCCGTTCTGTGTCACCTGACGTCCGTCCCTCCTTTCCCCCGTTCTGTGTCACCTGACGTCCGTCCCTCCTTTCCCCCGTTCTGTGTCACCTGACGTCCGTCCCTCCTTTCCCCCCTGTATCTCTTGCGTGTATATTTTCAGTTTTTTCAATGTTGTTTTGTTATTGTTGGTACTTGCTAAGTAAGTGTTAATGATTTTATTTTTGTGTACTTGACCTTTGTAGATTGAAACTTTGTTGGATGCAAGGATCCAATTTTTTTCTTAAGTTGGGTCCCTAGCAAGACCAGGCCTTGGTAAAAGTGTGAATTGGACAACTCTGATTTGTCTTCAGCAATTTCTCCACGCATAGTAACTCCCCAGAAACTTTTGTTACCTCACCAAAGATTGCTTTCTCTTATCACTGCCCTTGTTCTCACCCCTACTTGTCTACCAGAATGTTCTTATCATTCCTTCTAAGAACTAATCCCTGTTATGAGATAATGAATCCTTGCTCATGGATTAGTGGCGTTCCTCCCAATCAATCTGTGTGTTTGTTTTAATAATTTGAAGAGAGAATGTGAAAGATTTACTCTTCTAGTTGTAAGGCATAGTGGTACAGTGGGCAAAGCACTGGATATAGAATCAGGAAGACCCGAGTTCAAATCCTGTAACAAATTCTTACCTATTGAGTGATCCTGGAAAAGTCACTCTTGCAGCCTCATATGCAAAATGGTTATAATCATAATACCTAATGCACAGGATTTTTTGTAAGAATCCAATGAGATGTAAAATGCCTATAGAAACATTTGCTGTTGCCTACCATAATAAGAATTCCAACAGCCCTAGCTGACTAGGATAGGCTAATTGGAGAGAGGTTTTTTGATCAGGAAAGACCTTGAAGTGTTACCTGCAGTCTTGCCTTGTGGCAGGGTCACACACTGATTTCTAATACAGGATTTAAATTCAGGTCTTCCTGATTTCAAGTCCAGTTCTCTATCTATCACATCACCCTGCTTTTCGACTATCTACCACATAACTCTAGTGCCTAGTAGGATACTGCACACAATAGTTAGTAAGCAAATGTTTGTGGACTGACTTTTATAAAGGCTGGTGCAGTGGATGAAGTCAGGAACAGCTGACTTCAGATCTGACCTCAGACCCTTACTGGCTGTGTGGCCCTGGGCAAGTCACTTAACCCTGTTTATTTCCGTTTCCTCATCTGTAGAGTGGTGATAATAAAGCACCTACCCCTTAGGGTTGCAGTGAGGATCAAATGAGATAATATTTGTAATGTGTTTATCACGGTGCCTGGCACTGTGGTCTCTATTGCCTATCAAATAAAGTGTCAACTGGCCCTCTGTAATTTGGTGCCTTCCTGTCTTTGCAGATTTTATCTCATATATTCTTTCACCAACTCAGGTTTGGCATTTGCGCACCTCGAAGTATGACATAAATGTTAACCGTAATCATTGTCATCATCATCATGTCTACGTGAGACTTGGCATAGAGATATTTCTTCCAAAAAGTAAACTTTTTTTTTTCTTTTTCTGACATGTTTGTTCTATAAAGGGCCAGGCCAGCATCTACAGTTGGACTTTTGAAAACTCATCTCCAGAAACCACTCTCTTGATTAGCTATGCAACAGCATCTCGGTGTATTAAAGGAATACCTTATCAGAGCAGCTCCTATGCTTTGTTCAT